AGTATGAGCGGCGGTGGCAGAGCTCTCGCCGGTCCAGCTCACCACTCCCGGCGCTGCTGGGTCAGCCGACTGCCGTCTGCCTACCCTTAGAAAAGTGCAGCTCCTCCCACTGTCCGGCGAGCGCTCTGCCTTGGAACGTACGGTAAGGAGCGTTGCGGTTGCAGGTGCATACCGCAACACATGGTGCTATTTGAAGGCTCAAACCCAGCAAGAGAAGGAGTTCACCTTTCTTGGTGAATTAAACGGATATCTAGGTAAATCGGCAGAGGCCGCATTGCTGACCACAAGTATGGAAACCTAATCTACTTGAACTTCGCAATCGAGTTATGAGTCGTCAATTTGTCGGAGATATGACGGTGAACTATCAGCAGGAACAACTCGTTGACTGCCAGTGTCATATCGCTTGTAGGCGAGGCGCTTGTTCAACGGGCAGCACCCTTTGAGCCCTCATCGTTTCCGAACTTTTGCCTTGTCTTCGATGATAGCAACCAGCCGAGTCTTCGACGGTAGGTCGGGAAATGTCGGACACGCTCACAATCTATAGTATCAAATTTCGATGTTTGATGTGGAGATTTTGATTTGGCTAGACCATGTCGTCGTGGTATTCTGATCACTTGAAATCGTAACACGCCTATTTGATACATGAACACCTATGCGCGGCGCAGGCCGACATCATTGTCTACCATAAGAAGGCAACGCAAAACTTGCAGAGCTACTTGTGATGCGGGCATCTGCGCACAAAACAGATAATCGCATTCAGGAAGTCAAAATACTTATGAGAAATACTATTGTTATGTCGAGATTTTGACCCAAACTATCGCGGAAATACCGCGACGTCTCAATTGCAGATCAACTGCCGTGGATCAACGACAGCGCGGGAGCAAGCGAAGATGGACTGTGGACAAGCGGTAGCAGTTCACAACCGCTCAACGCATGGTCTCACTTTTTTTTCATCTATTTTCTTGTAATTGCGATAATGCGAAGTGATTTTTCCCACATTTATTACTAGCACTTTCCGTTGCCATTGAACATTCACACGCAATTTTAGTCGTTGGCCATTTGTATTGGGCTTTATGATGAAGTTTGATTACTCAAGTTTGCGGTGAATTTGAATGAAAACACGTATCCGTTTGCTGCAAAAACGCCTGGCGCCGCTCTGCAAGTTCCAGCGACGAAACACCGCGGGCAACAATACTCTAAAACTTGTCTTCAGTGTAGCTTGACTTGCGCGGAGTGGCGAACATGTAGTCCGCTTTCAGCGCTGGGCAAATTACCACAAAATTAGTAATTGCTCTGCTAGCAGATACGTTACCCCAACACCATGGGCCGCCTTTTCCTTTCTCCCTCCCCGTTCGGGTTTGCAACCCGATGGAAGCCATTCACAGTTAAGCAACGGAAGCGGGTTGCCCCCTCACGAAGGGGTCCAACCGGAAGGAGGTCCTGGCCTATTGGTGCCCCCTGCGCACGGTTGTTGGACTTAACTCACCTTGTTGTCTTTCCGTTGCGTCTGCAAGACATATGCTCTTGATATCGATTACAATAATCCGCGGAATCCTAAATAGATTTCTGTAGCGATGGGAAGCAATTTTGGGGAAGGGTCCCGGAGAAGACCTTCTTTGAGTTCGACCCGGTGGAAAAGGTTTCTCCCCGGGGGCCTTTTTCTCGCGGAAGGTTTTTTTTTCCCTTGGTTTTGAATTGGAAGGGGAAATTCAAAAACAACCTGGAGGTTTGGCGAAATTTTCCCCATTAGAATAAGAGCTCCGAAGTTCCGCATTCTGGAGCAAACCCTCACTGTGTTAACTTGCAGTAAGAACAAAGTGAGCCCCCCCTACACTATTGTGGTTTTTTTTTCACCTGGACTACCTGTGGTTCGCCGGGTTAGCCCTGCTTATGTGTAGCGCTGCAGAGCTGTCAAATTTTTCCCTTGCGCGCATAGCAAGCTCAGGCAGCAACCTTCGGTTATAATTGTATTCAGCATTATGGCCTTTTTTTTCATATGTCCTTGCCAAGGTCTTTCACATGGTCCCCCGATTATTGGCTAATCGATGCTCATTGGTATCCTGAAAATGCGGCTATCGATGTGTCCCGAATTGCTTTTTGCATAGAACATGTTTACTCACGCTTTGAGCAAGACGCGACGCACCGATTAACTGCAAAGAATCGGGAGCGCCCCCCTCCAGAAACTTAAACGACGATGACACCCTTTATCGCACAGCACGCAGGCAAATTGTCGCACTTCTCTCTTCGTTAACGAACCTCGAGCAGTTTGACTGTCACGTTTAAGCGCGCATTGGCGGTAACCACGTTGCTGCACGCATGTTGCAGCAAGCACCTTTCGCTCTGTAATGTTGCCGCCGCGTTGCTACATACAGGGAGGCGGGGGGGGGAAAAAAGTCATTTTGCCTGCCATGAACTTTGCAACGGGTCACATACGTTACAGCTTGTATGCGAGCTTTTATCCGGACACTTTTACTACATTTCAACCGAGCACATTCCAATACTATACTGGTACTCCCGAGCACGAGCCTTCTGGAGTAAGAGCGGCGCATCCGAGAGATTCTGCACGGCAACTGCGATGTGGTGCTGCTGAGATGCTAGCGAGATGGTCGATTACTCCGCCACCCTATGAACTCGCCGCAAACAGTAAATTGAGAGGGGTGATTAGTTTCAAGAAACCGCCGCGCTTAAAGATACTCGCACCTTTTTCTCCAGTCCTCAGCGTTTCTTTCCTCCCAAGTAGGGCGAAAGTTTTTCCAAAACCCTTCGATTCCACGTGGTGGCACCCAATGTTGTAGCAGTACAAAGTTTCCAAGAAGGTACGGGCGACCACATGTAGGGAGGATATTCTTCTCGAGTTACTTGATGTAACCGCCAGCGCTCACCTTCAGTCCGGGTCTACAAAGAAAATATCGGTCTTCCCATTCCAGGTACCCCGGTCCATACCATCAAGCGTGCCCGCGGCTTGGTGAATGGGGTGAAGATGATGTCCTGGACCGTAGCGACGTTGCCGGAGCTGCTCGATGTTTGGGGTCTTGCAGATCAAGAGTACTGGTCTCCAGGTAGCTATCCATGGGTGATTCCATTCAAGAAGTTCTGCAGCTGTTTGGAGGCCACGTGAATTCTAAAGGCGTTTCTCCCACTCAGGCCGCGACTGGAGATGACTTCATATTCTGGGTACATGAAGGTGAATGGCGGCAGCCGGCTCCTGCTTATAGAGGAAGATCTTGGGTATCTTCCGCCCTGGTACTCTAGCCAGCTTCTTGTCTGGGCTGCGAAATCTTCGCTCATATGTGACTCGGCCGGAATGACTTTTTTTTGGGCCACCCCCCCTGTATGGTGTAGCACGCTTCGTTTGAACTTATTTAGCACTGTTCGCTGACCTAAGAGTGTCAGTATATTTGAGAAGTCTTCCGGAAAGAAATGTATGTGTGGGAAATCGCAGGACCAAACTAGAGCTGTGTTATCGAAATTTTTTGGGAGATTTTTCAGCTATTATATCCTATGTCTATTTCTTAGTAAACGCAGTCAACTCAAAATTCTGGCTGTTCTTTCACTAAAAAATATGCGAAATAGTAAAAGCTGAACAATTTTGTTTAACATGATTACGCTCCTGCTTCGCAATCCCTTGAATTTATCAACCTTTTTGTCAATTCCCGTATCTTTGTAGCCCATCGTGTTTATCACGTAATGGTATCCAATTTTACTTATCATGGTCGTGCATACAAGTGTAATGTATAATACGAAGTATATGCATTATTTTTATGTCATACGTATATGATAAAAATCACATTTGTTTATACTCGACGCGCCATGAGCCGCGTCGACAAAAAGGCATCGGCCACAGGCGTCCCGGTTTCGGGAAAAACGCCGCGGTACCAATGGGTACATAAGTTTGAGTGCTGCTGTCACTCACGAGGTTTGTTAGGTGGAAACTTTATTATGGGCCTGACGTTTCGACTAGATCGTCAGGCCATAATAAAGTTTCCACCTAACAACCTCGTGTGAACAGACGAACTTATCTAATCAGGATCTAATGAGGGAAAAACTCACCCAGTTCACACCACAGCGAGAGCGGGAGCCTCGCTATGGTGGACTGGGTGAGTCTTTCCCTCATTCGGGATTTTCGGGGTTTTCTCAGTAGTCTGTCAGAAACGTTAGGGAGGAGGAGATCTTTGGCGGCGTAGAGAGAGCAAATTGAACCATGAGCCACGTTTAGGATTCTGATGAAGACGATCTAGTCAAAACGTCAGGCCATAATAAAGTTTCACCTTAACACCTCGCGTGCACAGAAGAACTTAGTTAGAACACTGCAACCGTGGATTTGCGACGCAAAGCGCAGAGCGCGCTCTCGATACTTTATGTATTGTTTAAAATAGATAGCCCTATTGATGATTGAAGGGACCCGATCAACCTGAGGCCCGTCAGTGCACCTAGTGACTCAATTACTTCTTGAAAAATGTTACTCACCTGGAAGATAAGGCTTTTCAGTAGAGTCCTATGCAGCTGAACCGTTCGCTCGCTCATGTGCTCGGCATTTTTCGATAGAGTTTTTCTTATCAGTATAATAATAACGCGCCGTAATCGATGCAAAAAGCAATACTGTATAACCGCCAGCTGCCATGCAGAATATAGTATGTTGTGGGTATTTTTCCGGCAAGATTAACATCATGGCTGATGACGGCTGGATGGTAAGGTTGTTCTAAACTCCATTAACACAGTTTGTTCAATTTATGGAATCTTCCAAACTCCTTCTTTTATTGTAAGAAGCCGTGTTCATACTTCGCGACTGGAGCGATTCAAGCGCGCGATTGCCTTCATCTGCGGCCTCATCGATACCTTTGGACCGCTGCAGCAAACAGAAGAGTACGCCCTGAACATAATCGAATTTGCAGGTGCAACGTTCAGCAATTAGCAGTGGAGAGCTGACCGTCATAGCCTTGCGCACTTCAAATCGTGCGACCGAAGCGCTCACCGCATTACAACGCAGCACTAAAGGGCAGTATTGGAACAAATTCACGGAGAAATCAGATGCGAAAATGTGGCAAGCCCTTTTGGACATACTCCGCCTTTTCTTCTTCACTGTTGAACGCTCGGATATAGAGAACTGTTAGAACGACTATTATTACTAGCGGGTACCCGAATACACCAACATACATAATAATTCCTGCAGCTTTAGAAAATTCGATGGTTTGTAATGTTCACGTTAGGGATTTGGCATGTACCTTTATCAGACCGGTTCATTGAAGAATTTATAGAATACAGTCTGAAAGCAAAACCGCTGTGGATGCTCCATATCAGGAACGCCAGCGAAAGAAGGAGCATTATCTGAACAGAGAGAATCTTAACCAAGGAGTGCCGGAGTGCTGGGTTCCGTGGATCCAATGTTTAGTTCCACTTAGAACTCTGTTAAGGTGTGTACCGCAGAGCGGGTGTAGTTGAGCACCTCAGAGGGGTGGGAAAAGTGGCCAAGGCTGCAGGATTGTGCCCTGAGCCTTGGCCAGGAGGCTGTTTCAGGTCAAGGCACCTTGCCAAGAATTGCTCTTCTAGTCTGGGCTCTATGCCCTTGAATGTGCTGAACTACCCCGCTACCTTCATGTACGCCAGGAGGTGAAAAGCATGTACTCAGTTGTAAGCGCATCTTACAGACAGTTGTCGGTTTTGGCAAAAAGGGCTATGTGGTGTACCACCTGCTTTTGTGCCTCCGTAGTGCTCAAAAGCGTAGGGCACGATAAATTGTATAAAAAATGTCCTCATCAGAATCAGCAACAAGGGTGCTACAAAAAGAAAATGACGAAAAAAAGCGAGATTAAATGGCGGAAAAATTGCGAAAAACTTTGGTTCCACACGTCACTCGACGAGTCATCTGGAAGAGTTCCCTGTGGGCATCAACCACTGACAGGGCGTTATAAAGATGCCTTCGTTGAAGAAGGTGCTTTACAGCACCTGCTCAGGGGCACCGAACTCTGTCCTGCTAGGCGTATTTGCCCTATGCGCCTTGTGGATTTTTTGTGCCACTTGCCTTTGAGCACAGCTGACAGCTTTTCTGCTTGGACCTGGAGCTGTCTAGCGCCGTTATGCTTTGATCTCACCATCAGTGTTGCACATGCCCTATCCATCCCGGGATGTGGACTCCATGTAATGCATACATTGGTCTACGTTCAGTTAAAGAATAAGTGTTCTGATGGAAAAATTACCGCGAAAACATTTCCGAAACTGGGTAACAAACGTGGTAGTAATCCTATCAATTCGCATCCTACTACACCCTCGAGCGGGATCGGAGCAATCCAGTAAGGTAATGGTGACGTCCACCAAGGCAGCAACAAGCTGAAATCACTCTGCATTAGAAGTGAAGTAAAAATAAAAAATGCAATCAATTGAGAATAAAAATTTGAAGACTCGACTAGTGGGATTGCATGTTACGTTACCGCTAGGACTTCTGGGCACGGCGTCGCATGGCCAATGCAGACAAGGAAAAGTGAAGGCGCTGTTATCGACGGGGGGGGGGCATTTTGTACTATCACTGCTTCTCGGTTTGCAAATCTCACTTTGGTAAAACTTGTGAACGCTTGTAAAGCTGGAGCAGGATCGTCTAGCCACCATCCCAAAACGTGTCAACTCAAGAAAACGCTACCTAGATGGGTCGACACATCTATGGAAAGCAAACTCCCCCGTCGATAAACTGCGCCAAAAGTGAATGTATACCAGAGCTTCTATAGCTGCAAGGAGCACTCGGTGATTGCGGCAATGTGCTTGGTCTCTGAAGAGGGAGCCCACGGATGGATGGGAAAGCCGCTTGCCGTTGCAGTCCTTGAGCGTGAGAGGTCATAACAGTCCTGCGAAGCTCTCATATAACCATCTGAGCTTTCTGAGGAGCTTGGCGCTCCTAAAGCTATCCTTATATAACTAAACAAGTCGTCTGCAATCGCAGTAAGAACGTCTTCAGTCAGCCTGGTTTGCAATCTACAAGTGCGTTGCATCCGCGTTGCGGCAACATACGCACAGTCTAGGTAGTTGGCCAGTATTTTGTAACACTTCTATTATTCACAACAGTGCTGGGTTATGGGCAAAAGTAAGACTCTAGGACGGGACTCGAACCCTGCCGCTTACCGGGTTGTTGCGATATCCGTTACGCTACCGGGGCCATTCTTACCCTCTCAGCTCAATGGCTTATTAATTATATTCTTCACCAATTAAGTCTTGGTGCAAGTGGAGCGTGCCGGCACCGCCGCGTCGTCGCAACGACTACCGCCATATGCACCACTCTACAAACTTACGGTTATAATCAGTAATATCCATTTGTATCGAGCCATTCCATCAGGAGAATGTCGCACAATAATGTAGCAGGAAAAAGTGTTGAGCAGCAAGGTTACAGACCCAGTAACCCTTACCAGATCCACCGTAAAGAGTTGTCGCAAATCGTCCGTCATTGCTCGAGCTGCGGAATAGATCGAAAATCTCATTATCGTATCAGGGGAGGGAAACTACACAGGACGGGAACACTTTTGATGGGTGACAGGAGGTGATGAACACTTGATAAGATTCGATAAGGGGCCTTAGAAGGGGAGGGTGACCGAAATCGTAGCGCAATTTGCAGCAGCTGCAGGACCGTGATTTCAAGAAGTGATATACATGGCAGGACGGGAACACTTTTGATGGGTGACAGGAGGTGATAACACTTGATAAGATTCGATAAGGGGCCTTAAAGGGGAGGGTGACCGAATTCGTGGCAAGTTGCAGCAACGGCGGGACCATGATTTCAAGTACTGATATGCCGTAGGGTGGGGCTGGCAGAAGCTGATAACATCTGATAAGATTCGATAAGGGGACTTTGGACGCGGAGGGTCACCAAATTCCTAATATCGGCTGCAGTGAATTGAGACCATGGTTCCGAGATGGTATACAGGAGGGACGGGGTGGGTGACAGAATCTAATAACATATGATAAGATTTGATAAGGGACCTCAGATGCGGAGAGTCACCAAATTCGTAAGGCGGGTTGCAGGGTCTGTGGCACTTGATTTCAAAAAGTGGTTAGGGGGAGGGGCGGACACCCATCGAACGGGTGACACGAAGAGATGATAAACCACAATGCGATTGATATGACCCAGGTATCAGGCTCTCAGTAGTTCGCACAAACTCACTCCTAGGCTTTATCGTTATTGACATCATGTACGGCCGCTAAAGCAACTGGAGTTCAGATGCATGACGGTTGTTTACTCAGTTGCCATGAACAGCAACTAAGTTTATCACTATGACTATGACTATCTTCCAGGCAACAACCCGAGAGAGGACCATTCGAAGCGCTAGACTGCCGAATGCGGGAGGGCATTCCAGAAAAAACCCTAAAGTGGTGGAGAACGGTAGGATGCTTCAAAGGCTGTTCTTACAAGATTCTCAGAAGATTTCGGTACTAACCCCGGGAAAAGAATGGACAAAGGTGTCTGTGTGTGTGTCTGTGTGTGTGTGTGTGTGTGTGTGTGTGTCACGAAATTCATAACTCCTGTTCCAGTAGCAGTGAGACTTTGGTTCCAGGAGGTAATGGAGGGGGTGTGACGGGAAAACCATTGGTGGTTTTAGGAGGTGTTATCAGCTGATAAGATTTGATAAGAGGTGTCCAAAGGGGATGTTCACAAACTCTATAGTGCGGTTCACAATAACAGTGGGATGTTGGTTCCGAGTAGCGATATGGGGGTGGGGCAGGAACATTATTGGTGGGTGTCAGGATTGAATATCAATAGATAAGATCCGATAATGGGGGTCAGAAGTGGGCAGTGGCCGAATTCATAGTGCTGCTCACACGAACACTGGGATATATAAGTAGTGATATGAGGGATGGGGGGACGTGAACACTATTGGTGGGGGACAGGATGTGATATCAACTGATAAGATCCGATAATGGGCGTCAGAAGTGGAGGGAGACCGAGCCCATTGTGTGGGTCACAGAAATAGGGGGACGAAGGAATTATTGGTGGGGGACCTGATGTGATATCAGCTGATAAGGTCCGATAGGGGGCGTTATAAGGGAAGGACTACCAAATTCACAGTGCGGCTCGCAGCAACAGCGGGACTTTGTTTCCAAAATCCTATTAGGGGGCGAAAAATTATTGGCCTGTGAAAGGAAGGTGAACAAGCAAAGCCTGCGCATTGTATACCAAATGGCATTGTATTGAGTACAACAAAAGGTGCGATAAATCAGTACAGTATTGCGTGCCACACAACTTACGCCTAAATACAGCTCTAGCACTAGATGGATTGTTCTGTCGCCTTCTCGAAACGCAAGAGAGCGTATTCGACTGCTCAGCTATCTGAGGTTCCAATGAATGATGGATATTCCTAGAGGTAGTGCGTTGAGTGAAGAAGTATCAAAACATCGATCGAGAGATTGAAACAGAGTTCTCCGACCGCCTACGTACTTGGAATTGAGGAAAATGATGAATGCTCATTCTTCTTCCAGTTGATAAGGCGTAGGGTGACGTGGGCTTAATTCAGTGTCAGTGATCTTCGTAGTCCCTCGCGCCATGGTCGCGTAACTTTTACATTAGCAGTTGATGAAGGTCATGGTCTTTAGTGATTGGTGCAGCCTTCTCACGGCTGAAAGTCTTTAGTAAGCATAAGTAACCAAATGTGGTAGATAGTGACTGATGTTAAGCTTTTTCAACTCAATTTTCTGGAGTTTAATAAAAAATGACTGCCCCCGTTTGGCACATTTAGCGCATTCTAAATCTCCAAGGGAAAGGTGCCTGGCGAAGCCAGGCCAGCTCGGCGAAGCCGAGCTATAGAGAAGGAGGAGAGCACGGCGTCAGCCGTGCGATCCGACTGGTTAATTATAGTCTTCACCAGTTAACTCTTGGTGCAAGTGGAGCGTGCCGGCACCGCCGCGTCGTCGCAACGACTACCGCCATATGCACCACTCTACAAACTTACGGTTATAATCAGTAATATCCATTTGTATCGAGCCATTCCATCAGGAGAATGTCGCACAATAATGTAGCAGGAAAAAGTGTTGAGCAGCAAGGTTACAGACCCAGTAACCCTTACCAGATGCCACCGTAAGGAGTTCTCGCAAATCGTCCGTCATTGCTCGAGCTGCGAAATAGATCGAAATCTCATTACTCGTATCAGGGGAGGGAAACTGCAGTTGGATAGAGATCGCTTCCGCAACTTTTTCTGGCGATTACGGGCAGGTGCTTTCTCCAACTCAATCATCGTGGTTGAAAGGCAACGGGATTATAGGTGGATAAGACTTTTATTAAACGGTGAGGAAGTGATAATTCCAGTAAGTTAAGAACAGCGCACACGATTCCTGGCGTCCAGCAAATCGCCTGCTTTGCAGAGACAGCGGCTGCACCCCACTTTGCGGCACTAAACCGAATAACGTGGACACGAGGACCGCCCATGCTGCCGCTCCGTTAACCGGCCCCACACGTCCATGCTGCCGCTCCGCTAACCGTCCCCACACAGTTCAACTGGCTCCGCCCACCACTGTATCCACTCATAATAACAGGGGACCCTTCCAAGAGCGTAGGCAGGGGCATTGTTGTCAATAGGAAATCAGCTGGGATCAATCGCGGTGACCATATCGACCACAGAAAAATTGTCCTGTTATCTCCTCCGACCATTCTCTCTCTTCGCTGTGATCTCCTATAAACTCTGTTCAAAGGGGTTCTTTAGAGCACGAGAGAGAGAAAGAGCAGAGCAGAAGGTTGAAGTTTCTATCAGTGTACCTACAGGCGTCGATGGGGATTCCCTGTGGGGGGGGGTCGTATTTGGCCGCCAAAAGGGGGTCGTATTTGGGCTGGGAAAAATTTATTTTTATAGTTGATTTTTCTCGCTTTGCGGACGTTTTGGAGGGGGGGGTCGTACCCCAGCAGAAGGTTGACCACTTTCTATCTGTGCTCTAGAGTAAGAAAAGAGGAGAATATGATACTGTATGCAAATAACTGAAAAATTTGCAAAGTTTGTGTTACTGACTTCAGACCGAATTCACAGAATACAACTCCTGTCGCTACAATATAACCTCTATTTGCACTGAAAGAACTCGTTATTCAGATCCTTCATCAATTTTCCCTTGTTTAGCTCGTCTCCATATTGTACGGATGTTGGACGAGTTGTTGGCTGTCCGATTTTCCACGTGAATGTGGACGATCCTGAAGCTGTGATGCATGTTTGCAATGTGGCTGCTGAATGGAGAGCGACTTTCAAGAAGGATGTGATTATCGATTTGGTGTGCTACAGAAGGTATAAAGAAATCATTTTGTATCGGAGGCGAAGGTTGGAACGGTCCCTTGTGATCTTGCGGGATTTGATTTGTGTTTATACTTCGCGACTGGAGCGATTCAATCGCTCGCGCGATAGAAGAACGAACGCTTTGCAGGCATGGTCACAATGAGCTCGACGAACCGATGTTTACTCAACCACTTATGTACCAGAAAATTAAACAACATCCAACAGCTCTTCAAAAATATCAAGAAAATATCACCAAGGAAGGTGTCGTAGATGAGCAGTACGTGAAGGTACTTTTTGAGCCTTACTATCCCTGCACCCTTTACTATTCGTACTCCTAGCATTCCAGGATGAAGTCACAAAGTACGGTCAAATTCTGGAAGACGCTTACGAGAATGCCCAGAAAGTCTCTTATTTGAGAAACCGTGATTGGCTGGATTCTCCTTGGGATGACTTCTTCAAGCATCGCGACCCTCTCAAGGTAATATTTTCATTCCGCTTAGTGTCGAGACAAAATGGTCCTCAGTTCAAGTACAGTTGTTGCAGCTGGTCCCCACTGGTGTTGATGAAGACTCACTAAGACAGATCATTGAGAAATTTGGTTCTTATCCCGAAGGATTCCATTTACATCGTGGTCTGGAAAGAATTCTCAAGGGGCGTAAGCAGATGTTGCAGGAGAATTCGGTAAGTTACTTGTTCTCTCACTGATGTAGCACAGGTCCGCGGCTCACCACGTTACCTATTAAGAGTAGGATGACGTCTCCCTCACGTCACATGATGGTGTTAATGACGGTTCTAGGGACGTCATTAGCAATGATGAAGTGCAGGTTATCGGTGCAGTTCGGCTTGGTGGGACAGCAAACTGCATTCAGGGGTGCATTCTAATCTTGCACAGATCACCTTGTGAAGATCTGAAACTTAGGAAGTTTCTGGAGCTTGCAGTTGCTCACTCGTACATTTTCGCAACTTCACAGGCGTTCACATTCTTACCAAATGGAGCAGGGCACATCATTGGTTAGGGATTTAGCCGAGTCCGCACGACCCCCCTTTTTTTCGGAGGGGGGAGTGGTACGACCCTCCTCATCGATCAGAGGAGGGGTGAGGTATATAGTACGCACGAAACAGGAAAATCACGAAAAGTCAACCACCACTCCTAGAAAGGCCAGAAAGTAAATACGACCCCCCCCCCTCCCAACAATGAGCAAGTACGACCCCCCTCTTTTTACAACGTCCGTGAAGCGAGAAAAATCAACTATCAAAATAAATTTTTCTCAGCCCAAATACGACCCCCCCTCTCCTGGCGGCCAAATACGACCTCCCCCTGTTGGGGATTCCCCAACAACGATGTACCCTGAAATGGAGACCTCTCGACAAATGAACTACCAAACCGAATTGGCAGACAAGCAAATCCCCCCCCCAATCCCAAGATAGCGCGCAGATTTCTTCTTTATTACGTTTAGGTGACACGTCATCTGATTATTTTCAAAAGTTTATGGACCTGTGCTACACCAGATCCGGAATTCTAGTCGGATTTAATCTCTATTCATATAATGATCTAGCTTGATTGGGCCTGTGGTGAAGCGTTGGCGTTCGGATCGCTTCTCAAAGAGAACATTCATGTTCGCCTCAGTGGCCAGGATGTCGAGCGTGGAACGTTCTCTCACAGGCATCACGTCCTGCACGACCAGATGATTGATCAGAAGGTATGTATGTGTAGGACATCGTTGCCACTAGGGGTGAACAGGCATTCAGAGAATAGGCTGACGCCCCATAGTGAACATGGCGCTATCCTCCCTCAATGGCTGTCCGCACTAAACTATGAACAGTCGTCATCCGGGCCTTGATTAGGCGGCAAAGAGTCGCGACACGGCTACGGCGCGTCACGACCGCGACGCGGTCAGCGACCGCGCTATTAGCTGTTTCTAACTAGCTTAGCATTTTCTTCCTAATTTTCACTGTTTTTGGCTGCTTTTTTGTGGTTAGTTGTTTCTTGTCTTCGATAATTGTGATTGAGATTCCTCTAACTTTGAGAGTGATTAAACGAACAAACAATTAATCGAATACCTAAAAACTCGCAAAAACACTCAATTACAACAACAAAAGAGAATCCACCTCCTAGTACACTTCATAAAGGCAATAACACAACTCGCCTTGCAAAAAAAAATAGGAAATTAAGTGAAAATTAGGGAGAAAATGGCTAAACCAGGCTGGAAACAGTTGATCGCCGCGGTCCTGACGAGCCGCAGCCGCGTCGCGACCCTTTATCCGCCTAACCAACTGCACGGATGACGACTGTAGTGCGTAGGAACGCCTCCTTCGGACCCTCAGATAGGCACAGTAATTCACATTTTCTACTTCGTCCCTTGTAGACGTACAATCCTCTGAACGATCTACAAGAAGGCCAAGCACAATACATCGTATGCAATTCTTCCCTATCAGAATATGCCGTACTTGGATTTGAACTTGGTATTGTAGTGATTGTAGTATCACTGAGTACTGCAGCCGGTGTAGTGTAGTTGTATCCTATACGCTGCCACGCGGGTCTTCGGAACGTTTATTGCTACTGCTTGCGGTAGACCAACAACAAAAGGAGGTGAAGTCAACCTTACCGCGGCAGTCTTTTATACTGCCGCGATGATAATAAACAAGCAAAGTAAACAAGACAGATCATTTTCACAGTATCACGTGCTGGAAATGGTTATAGAGTCTTCTCTATAGGTATGTTCTGATTTTACCACTTTGTGAGCAGTGTGAACTGCTTAGATAAAGCTTTCATCACAGACTTATTCGCTGTGAACGCCGGAGCATGTTGAGGGGTAGGGCTTGGTTTGGCTTGACGCCAGCTCATTCCACCTATTGTGGAAGCAGGCAAGCGACCACAATTGGTGGAGGACCGGCACCAACCAGACCCCCTGACACGTCCCAGCACTCACAGCTAACACGACTGCAGTAGCCACTGCCTTGAGAGTGGTTTTTACTAGAACTGTACAAATCTGTGATCAAATCTAGGTTATCTATGGTCAACCCGAATTCCCTGGTCATCTGGGAAGCGCAGTTCGGCGATTTCGCCAATAACGCTCAGTCTGTGATCGATCAGTTCATTTCGTCTGGTTAGTGTTTTCGCTCATTGATTTCGAGGCCGGTACAGGCTGAAAAGATTGTGGCGCTGATAGGGTTGGGAGGTGCATTCTGCACTTTGGCTACTTCCTTTTACTATTTTTGTAACAAGCGTTCACAGCATTACAATGCGGCCTTGCAGGCTTCTCTGAGTACCATCTGGTGCCCCTTACCAGTCCAAACTGAGCAAAGAGTTCTCTCTTTAATACTCCGAATATGTAATGACTGACGCTATTCAGGACAGTCGAAATGGATCCGTCAGTCTGGCCTAGTGATGCTTTTGCCGCACGGTTACGAAGGAATGGGACCTTACCTACAAATGTGCAATGAGGACGATCAGATTGATCTCGAAGTGAGTGCTGATATATGGGTTTTTTAGACAAATATCGACGCACTGACGCCCCCTCGTGTGGATATTACTTCTATGACTTGCAGAATATCGCATTTGGTGGCACATTTGAAGCTCAGCAGCTCCATGACACCAACTGGATCGTCGCCAACTGCACCACACCTGCCAACCTTTTCCATCTGCTCAGAAGACAGGCGAGTTGTGTCATTTGCCTTCTTTGTGCGTTCTTCGGCTTGGCGAGGGGGGGGGGAACATTTTGCGTTCCCTCCTTTCTTCTGTTAGTTGGTGATATAACTGGTCTGGCCTTGAGACCTGTGAACTCTTGTGAAGCTACGAAATGGCACAAGTGAGCCACTGCCCGCCCAAGCCGAACACCTTTGTTTATTCTGGTTTTTCATTACTTGTACATGTCTTAATACTTCTTTTGGCTTCTTCAAGCTTCTCCTCTGGAAGTGCTTTATTCAGTCGCTACGCTAATCGTCATGTTTCAATTTAAGGTAGCCATGCCGTTCCGTAAGCCAGCTGTAGGTGATGACACCAAAGTCACTGCTTCGTCATCCGATGGCTCGTTCACCACTCGAAGATTTCAAGCCTGGCACAACTTTCCAGCGGGTTATTCCCGACAACAACGCTGAACATGGAGCTGTGAAGCGACTGGTTTTCTGCACAGGTGAGTAGGTGCAGATGAATAGTGTAAGAGTACTACATGTCGGGATGTTTCCAAAATCTCCCAAAATATTTTCGTCGAGTGTGGGAGGTGTGGAAACCCCTGACTGACCGTAAAAAATACTAGTATTGCTGCGCTAGGGAGGGGTATGGCGCATTTGCAACAGCAACAACTAAAAATCGAAAAAACTTTTTGAGTCGAGCTCTCGCTGCGATCAGTACTACCTTCTCATGGTTATGCCCCAACGATGTTGCACACCGCTTAAGAGGGAAAGGGAGTGGACTCCGGGCATGGTCTGTGTCTAAGGGTCCCTTTAGTGATTCACTAGTCCACCCCGCTGGAGCTACAGTATTGTTCGCTGACGAAGGGGAGCGTGTCAGGGGGGGGGGGGGTAAATAGTGTTTAGCGTCATTATGTTATCCACAAATCATGATCGCCGCTAGCTTCCAAAACTGAAGCTGAACAGGCTAGCGCCGCGTTCAACCCACTCCACTTCTCCACTCCTCCTCTGGAGTGCCCCAGCGCCAGCTGGTAGCTACTTTGACTGGAAGTATCTCAACGAAGCAATATCGGCAACTGATTCACTTTCAAAGACAAATACCACTGCTTAAAATGCGCTCTTAAATGTAATTGCACTGAGGTTCGAGAATGAAGCTGTAGAAGGCTGAGTGGGGCTTTTTCAGGAAAAGTGTACTACGATCTGGTAATGGCCAGAAAGCATGTCGGAAAAGAAGATTCCGTTGCGATATGCCGTATCGAACAAATTTCGCCGTTTCCGTATGACTTGGTTCAAGCTGAATGTCAGAAATATCCAGAAGCACGGTCTCAAGAGGTTGCTTACAGTTTTTACGTTCATACCCTTTGACAGGCTACCTTCGCAGCTTACCCCAAAAAACTTTGCTGCCAGCATCTGAGAACTGAAAAGTCAATGAAATTCATCATTGGTGATGTTTTCAGGAGCACAAGAACATGGGCGCCTGGGGCTATGTGCAGCCACGTATCAACAGCCTGATGCAGAGTGAAAATCGTTCAGTTCGCTACACTGGACGTCATCCATCTGCATCACCAGCTACGGGCAACAAGTTCACTCAAGAACAAAAAGACATGATGAGCAGAACATTTGGCGTTCCAAACGCTCAATTAGAAGGTTTCAAAGCGTAAAAATCACATTCACCGATGATAAATTCTTCAGTAGGTCAAATCTAGTCTACTTAGCGCGTCTCTCCAAACTTGCCTATTTTCCTGTTTTCTCTGGAGAATCGCGAACGATCGCTGGTCAGTTCATTTCTCGTAATCTGATACGTTGGTATTTCATTCAAGTTGCCTATTTTGTTCTTCCTTAGGGACACGCGCCTCAGTGGGATTTACACTTACTTGTAAGCAGAAGTACTTATGAAGTCTAGAGCAGCTGTCCGTGGTAGAGGTCTAGTCAATCAGAGAAAAGAGTTGAAAGCCCAATGTTACCGATGTTTGTAGTGTAAGTGTAATCACGCAGTGATAATGATTGCTCAATAATAATTAGGAATGTTCTGTTACGTGTGTGTTTTGAATACCTTGTGGCAGTGTAAACACGTTTCGTTGTATGAGTTATGCTATAACTTTCTTGGCGCTACCGTAGGCGCCAAACGACCACGCGAACACCTCAGGCTCAGCCTTGGAAGAGCGCAGACAACCAGAGTCGTCTGCCCCTGTCTCGAAGAGCACAATTTTCAGCTTCCTCGCTGAATTGATCACTAAGTGACATTGCATCAGAACTGAAGGGAGTTCTGCTCCAGCATTCCCCTTCAACTACAATAGCTCCGTTTTTCAACAAAAATTTCGCGGAATTACCCTCCCAAGACTAGCACAGCCGTGGGTTTTATGAGGGAAGCGACAGGAGAATAGAACTGCTCCTGAGCTCAGCAGTGTTGCGGTGATACCATGTTGTTATAATACTCCCACGAACCCTTCATCCTTCCTTCATTCTACCCGCCTCTCAACAAATTTTCCAAGATGTGACCCTCAATCGGTAGGGGGAGCGGAGTTAGGCACTTCCGATTAACTACCAGTAATAGTCGTAGTCAAGTCAACAAATATAGAGAATTTTTATTTTCCTTTGACCAGTACCACCTTCACATTCACTGACCATTTCCCTTCAGGGATTCATCAACGTACAGAGTGCGCTAGCTGAGCGGCACGTCCTCTGTCTGGTCAGACATTGTGAGCGGAACGTCCTCTGTCTGGTCAGACATTGTGAAATCTGTGGCTGCAAGACACCGACTTGGTGTATATAAACGAAATCCCTGAGATCGGGTAGGCGGAGCATTCGAACACTGTAAGAACTGGTTACTAGTGGAATATTCCAGTCTGGGACAACTGTCATCTTGTTCTGTGTTGGACAGAGACACGACAACGATTGTGTCGAGATGAAAATATCGCATCAGAAGCGTAGACGCCTTAAGGATAAGTTGAAACATGCGGCCACGCCTACCCGATCTCAGGGATCTCGAGTGTAACTCCCATCAGCTGAGCCTTTCCAAGATTTTTGGGCATCTTCTTGTAGTTGTGTAGACCGCACGTACACTCGCAACCCCTGAGATGAAGTAGGCGTGGCTGCGGACCTCAACCAAACGTGACGGTGACTGCGCTTTTGGTAGATATGCTCGTTTTGAGTTTATTGTAGTCATGTTTGTTCCCAACAACGAACAAAATGACAGTTGTCCTTAGTTGAAATATACCACGAGTGACTCATCCTGTGTTATGTCTAAATGCCACGCCTACTCCGTGTCAGGGATAAGGAGGATATGTACGTTGGCATAAGTGTCTGTGCGTACGAATCAAGACATATGGCTGAACCGTGAAGACCTCGACAATTTATTCGAAAAATAGTGCAGCGAATTCAGAATTTTATCACTTTATCGAAATTTTAGGCAGCCCTTTTCTGCCGTGATCATAGATGGATAGAAAATTTCAAAACTAAAAGCATCAATGACACAAATGTGAGCGAAATAGGTCTTGCATGACTCCACAGCGAGGCTGCACGTCTGCACACTATCAACATGAAAGCGTTCATCCAGGGTTTTTCCCGCATAATCGCAATGAATGGGGACGGTTTTGAGAAAAATGGTTCAAGCCAACTGGGGCGGTTCCACCTCTGGTTGGTTTCTTCATTAATCGATCGCTAGCCGAT